CCTGTCGATTTGTTTGGATTAATTAAATGATATTTTTAAAACAATATATTTCCTCTCCAGTCTTCCTTGGGGATGTATTCTCTTTGGAGTGTTGCTGAAAGGAGATTTACGCTTTCCCCCTAAAAGCAACATTTTGATGACATTACAAAACATTACATGAGGAAGTTTGGAAGGTTCATGACGGAGTTGTGAAGAAAACACAAAATGAAATAAAGAGTTTCTTTTTGGCTTTAGGTTTTTATTCAGAGTTTAAGTCAATGATACGGCCAATGTGGAAAAACATAAAATAGTACAGGAACATATAAAACTTATGTTAACTTTTTACAATATAAAAATAAAACAAATGATGAAAAATGACCAAATAAAATACTAAAATAAGACACTTCAAAAACCTACCATTAAAAATACAGTTATCTAGCATCCAAGCGACGGGACATCATAAACATATTCTTTTTTATCTGTCTATATTTCTGAGATGAGGTATTGTAATTGGAACACACTATTTACATTGTTCGGACAGTTGTCCTCATCTCTATAGCCATATTCAAGACGTTTCGGCCGTTGTACGCTCCGGCCTTCTTCAGGATCTGTTTATATTTCTGACATGAAGTATTGCAATTGTTCACACTATTTACATTGTTCGGACAGTTGTCCTCATCTTCGTTGCACGACGTTTCGGCCATTGTACGCTCCGGTCTTCTTCAGGATCTGTCTATATTTTTGAGATGAGGTATTGTAATTGCTCACACTGTTGTCCTCATCTTCGTTGCCATATTCACGACGTTTCGGCCGTTGTACGCTCCGGCCTTCATCAGAATCTGTTTATATTTCTGAGATGAGGAATTTTAATTATTTATACTATTTACATTGTTCGGATTGTTGTCCTCATCTTTGTTGCCATATTCACGACATTTCGGCTGTTGTACGCTCCGTCCTTCTTCAGGGTCTGTTTATATTTCTGATATGACGTATTATAATCATTTACACTATTTACATTGTTCGAACTGTTTTCCTCATCTTTGTTGCCATATTCACAACGTTTCGGCCGTTGTACGCTCTGGCTTTCTTCAGGTTATTGGAGTTTTGAACTGAACCCTTTATTTCGTCCACCGGTGTGCATAGATAGATTATGCCCTTTTTAGAGTGCATCAATATTTACAGTATTTACTGAACCTCCCGCTCAAATGAATGGCTAAAAATTCCAAGTGCATCTTAAATGCGTTTTTTAAATCCTCCCGGAGGCCAATTTTATCCATGTTATCGTAAATTAAATTTTACCTCAGATAGCCACATCTACCCGACCCTTCAATAATATCATTTATTCAAAGGTTATTATTGTCATCATATTTTTCCACACAATGTAAGTTCTCGAATGCAACGGGTACATTAAGTCACAAGTACCTCAGTCCGACAATGCTTTCCTCAAAATATCAGCAGTGCCAGAAAGAGCCGATTTTCAGATGCCTCCAAACTGGTATGGTATTCCCAGCTGGTCGAGGAAATCACAAAGTTTTAATGAGATTGATCCCAGTGCGCCAATTACTACTGGAATCCGCTTCCAGCATTTGAAACAATCTTGCCATCTCAACTTTAAAATCAGGGTAGCTTGTATTTTTCTCAATAATGTTCTGTGTTTATTATTATCATTATTAATTTTATTTTCTTTGATTTTTGGCGTTTAAACATTTCTTTCCGGGTCCCGCCCAGGGATCTAAGGTTAGAAATGGCATCATGACACTTTCCACTGACAAAAAAAAAAAAAGAATTACATAGATAAAGCCCTTCGTAAAGAGTGGGCTGTACTTGTGAGAACAATTTTTTTATCTCCTTGAGGCATGGACTTCTAGAAATCCCTTCAGTTAGTCAACTAGAATCTTTTCCAACCAATCCTAGGGCTCCAATTGCAACAGGGATTGTTGATGTTCCCATATGCCACATTTTCGAGATTTCTATTTTAAGGTCCTTGTATTTTGGCAGCTTTTTGAATATCTTCAAAGATACATTGCAGTCAGCAGGGTCTGCCATATCAATAAGGAGGCACTTTTTTGTTTGTGGTCTTTAATAACAATATCTGGGCGGTTGGCTTTGATTGTTCTGTCAGTGTGTATTGTGTAGTTCCATAGAATTGTAACAGGTCCTATCTCCGTAACCGGGTCTGGGTGGTGTTCATACCATTTCCTTTCAGTTTCCTTCCCGTAGAAGTTGCAGATTTTCCAGTGCAGATATTAGCCTACGCTGTCATGCCGGGTTTTATATTCAGTGGGTGCCAATATCGTGCAACCTGATACAAGATAATCAATCGTTTCTGGATATTTATCACAGAATCTGCATTTTGGGCTGACACAATATTTTAATTGATAATTCCTAGTTAGCAAGCATTGGTCCTGTGCAGCAAGGATAAAACCTTCAGTTTCAGCTTTCAACTCTGCACTACGTAGCCACTGATGGGTACGGGTTTTGTCTACGTCAGCTTGTTTGGTACGGGCAGAGTATTGGCCATGAAGCGGTTTATCTTGCCATCGCTTCTGGATCTGGTCGGTTGCATCCGTCTTTGCTGTCTTTTTTTATGTATTTTGCAGTTTCAGTCGGTGTATTGTGCTGTAGTTGCATCTCTACGCCCATTTGAAACTCCATTTTGAATTTGTTGGCTTCTTTTATTACGGAGTAAAGACACTTACTACTTAATACCATCATCCAATCTTCTGTAGTTTCCAAGTATCTTTGGAGGCCAATTGTTGTAGTTTTGTAGGACAGTTCTAGTTGAACTAATCCTCTGCCTCCTTCGGATTTGGGCACATACAGACGATCAACATCAGCTTTGGGATGATGCATGCGGTAGCAAGTGAGAAGCTTTCTCGTTTTGGCATCCATTCGTTTAATTTCAGCTATGGTCCAGTTAAGGATATTAAAGCTGTATTGCACCACAGGGACAGCCAATGTGTTTATAGCTGATATTCTGTTTTTTGAGTTTAGCTCAGTATTTAGTACCAGGCGTACATGCCTGTAGTACTCTTTTCTTATTTTTTCCGTCATTTGGGGGTGTTGTATGCCATCTCCATCGCTAATTCCTAGGTACTTATAAGCTTCATCATGCTCCAGTTCCCTAATCTTTGTGACAAAATCTAAATCTATTTAGGGTGTTTCTGTAATTCTACCTTTCTTGAATGTTACTTTTGCACATTTATCTAATCCGAAGTCCATACCTATGTCGTCACTGAAGTATTTTACAGTATTGAGGAGGCCTTTCAACTCATTGTCGTCTTTGGCAAAGAGTTTGAGATCATCCATGTAGAGTAGGTTTATTATTATTATTATTATCATTATTTTATAAAGTTTATCTACGTACGCAGATATCAATGAGGGGAGCACAATTTCAAACTTGACATTTGTAAATAAAGTGTGTAGAGACAACTCTTTAAAAATTCAGAGATAGATTGTACACCGTATCGATGTTATGAACAGGATCCCTCTTCCAAAATGATAAAAAAATTCGATATTTCTCAATTTTGACAAATACCGTGCCTTGATGAAAGTCTAATCAATATGAATCTACAAATTTTATTTCCCATAAAAGTTTTCTCTGTTTTTTTCCATGGACCACTCTATTTAACTAGGTTCCTTAAAGGATTCATTCGCCTGAAGCCGTTTTTAACCGTCGATCTGAGAAAACGGTCGTATAGAGATGATAGTTCAAACATTTATGAAAGACTTGGACGCCATTCATGGCATCCATAGAAGTATCTAGATATATTTGCCCTGTTTGTAATTCTGGTTGAAACACAAACCCGACGTTTTCGTAAAGAAGACAAGTAAATCTATTCTTATAATTGATCAATGCTACTATAGGGATACAGAAGGCGGAGATATGACACATAGGTCACATGACACCCGTTTAGTGACGTCACTCCATACAGTAACGAAAGAGGCAGTCGAAATCAGTTCGTTTATAGTAGCTAAACCAAAAGGTTGCTTACTTCAGACTGGCCTCTCCATGGCCCGGATAGAGGCTAAATCTGCCTCCACAGAAGCTTACAAGTTCATGACGTGTCCCTTTATAGATATAGAAAGAAACCCCAGCTCTCAGCCCTCAATGTGAAAAAAAAAGCAACATTAGCTCTTTCCTATTCGTGGAATATGTCCTCGCCTGGGACATAGATGAATCCGGCCCGTTTGTATCTGAAGTTATAAACACGGCTTCTCCAGACACAAGAGAATCTCCATATTATATGTAAGACCTTTTTTGTTCTCTCCTCATGATGTCATTGATATACAATATTCCCCGCATGGAGCAAATGTATATATAGTTTTGTGTACGTCTTTCTGAGAACAAAACATGTTTACAATTCCTTTTCCTTTCACCGATTCTGTTCCATCCTTGAAGCCCAGTGTTATTCTCGATATAATAAATACTATAACGTGAGAAAGCAAATGTGAGACTAAACCTTTTTCCCATATAACACCCACGTTACACTACTAAAAATGACAATATTAGAAAGATTAGAAACACACAGACGCATATATATATAACAGAAATCTGTTACGCCTAACAAAGACGCGTTTTAGTGGCTTTATTACCTTGCTTGGGGTGAAATGATTAAAAAAATAGAGAAATAAAAATAATGGAATTGTTTTTTTCACTTCTCAGTTTTGTAAAGTATTCTCAAACAATTTGCACCTGTTACATCAAAAGCAAGGTATTGCCGGTGCAAAAAGTGAACTAGAGTTATTTCCCTCGCATTGCAGGTATTAAAATTTATGGGTAATTATAAAGGATTTAAATTTATTAGCCATAATAACACCCATACATAAATTTTGACAGCAAAAGCCCTTAAATTATGCAGGTTCCACTTACTGATCTCTTTGCATTTCTTGCACGATTTTTTGCAGTTTACGTGCATATATTCTGGGTTTTTGCTGCATTCGCCGCTCTTTGCCCATACAGCACACTTCTCATGTTTGTCAACACAATCTGAAAAAAAAAATGATACAAGAATCAATAGTTATTCTTTTTTTTTTTCTTTTTTTTTTTTTAAACACGAACTGGTCATTGAAAGGAGGAGAACAATATCCCTATCCCATGCTAAATGTTCGGTACTCCTTCAATATAGGCAAAACATTATTTTACTGATTAGCGACATTTCACAAGGAAAAATCTCCTGGTAAAAGATACAATATCTCCAGAAAAAAAAGAAAATAAATAACCTCATTATTCCCCGAGATCGAAATAAGAAACTACTTACCTCCCTTGTCTTCACCGCCACCACCACCACCACCACCACCACCACCACCACCACCACTACATGTTTTGCAAGATTTTTTGCATTTGACCAGCATATAATCCGGGTTCTTTTGACATTCGCCTATTGAAGCCCAGTATTTACAACTCTCATTCGTGTCGACGCAGTCTATCGATAAACCAAAAACGTTTTCAGAAAATTTTTCTGTGAAACAATAAAATATTTTACATATTCTTGTAGACTAGGACTCAGCGTACTCCCGGCTCTTCCCTACTACTGTGACAATGGACTGCACCTACTTATAAATATGACGAGGGGGCAAATTAGAGGAGGATTTGAAGAGGAGTTGATTTGCTCAAGCATTTCCATTCTATGTATGAGTATCAAATAAACCTCTTCTTTTTTTGTTTCTTCTACCTCGTCTTCTGTTCTTTCGATATTCTGTCAAATAACGGCCTTCCTACATCTCGGCCATTTTGAACTCTTATCTCTGAGTATTTAATAAACCTCTTCTTTGTTTCCTCTACATAGTTTCTGTTCCTTTGATACTCTTTCTAACTAAGGCCTTCCTAATTCTCGGCCATTTTGAACTCCTATCTATGAATATTTAATAAACCTCTTCTTTGTTTCCTCTACATAGTTTCTGTTCCTTTGATATTCTCTCTAACTACGGCCTTCCTAATGCCCGACCTATGGCCTTTTGAACAAAGACATCATTACAATAGTAGATGGGACGCCAATCCACGCCGGGAGACCGCAATGGTTTAACAGAACTCTTTGTCACCACTCTCAAAAGGACATTAAAATGGCTCGTGAGGAGGAGACGGACAAAGAAATTTTACTCCATTTTCTATGTTTGTACAGACAGGCACCAGATCCTAACAATATGTCGAGGAAATCATCCGCTGAGTTAATATTCTCTAGAAAAATAAGAACCTTCTTTTATGTGATGTGTCCTTTCAGGATGTAGGCGATAATGGCTCTCCACCTCGTCCAGTCCCTTGTAGCTCTCTATAAGTTATTGTTATAACATAAGAGTATAATATAAGTTTTTGTTATTTCTCCCAGACCCTGTTCTGCCATCCACTTGCTTAAGCCCGTAAGTCATGCGTTGTTTTCCCTGTCCTTTTCCCCCCTCTATTCGCCCTGTGAGTATCAGATTTTCTAAGCCCTCCTTTCTCATTATGTTTCCCAAAAATTTCAGCTCTCTTTTCCTGATGTTAAGTATAGGTTTCTTCTTTATTTGCATCTTCTCCGAAACGTCATCATTGCTCAAATTTTCGGTTAATGGTATCCTTAGCATCCTTCTGTAGAATCATACCTCATTTGCCTCGAGTCTCTTCATTGTTGAGGAGACTGTCCAACATTCGCTGCCGTAAAGGAGGACAGATATCATGTAGCAGTTCAGTACTCTTTTATTTGTTAACAATGAAACTTTCCTGTCTCATAATAATCTGCTTAGCTTTTGGAATCCATCTTTAGCCATCTCAAAACGTTTTCGGACCTCAATGTCGCACATTCTGTCTTCACTTAGAACACTTCACATCGCATTTCGGGCTCATCTTTTTTGTTGATGACCATGCATTCTGTCTACTTGTCGTTTATGCTTAGTCCCTTCTTCTAGCTCTCCTTCTGTAGGAGGTTTTGTAGTTTCCTTTCCGTGTCTGCTATCAGCACTTTGTCTTCTGTATATCTTATGTTGTTAAGACTGTGTCTGCCAAGGATGAATCCTTGTAGCATTTCCATTTCTCTCAAATTTGGCTCGCTCTATAGGTTGAATAAGTCCGGTGAGAAGACACATCCTTGCCTTACGCCCCTTTATATTCTCTCAATTGTGGTCTGAATTATGAATGAATAAAATAAAAAAAAATTGCACTTCTACGAATCGGAGATAAAGTATTTTTTAAAGAAATACCAGACAGGAAAACAATTATGTGTGTTTGTGTGTGCGTGGGGGGGGGGTGCATGGTATTTCGGTGAATTGGCCGCAGAATATATTTCGTTCAAAATCAAAATGATCTAAAAAAGGGACATACAAACCAGCTAGTCTTCTGCTCCGTCGTGTCCTTCTCTAACTACGGCCTTCCTAATTCTCGCCCAACTCACCTGTCTTCCTCTCGTTAGCCATTTTTAATTCTCTTTTTCGAATGTTTCTCGGTTGTTTGAAGTTTATGAACGTTTCATCATCATTAAAGTAATTGTTATGCTTTTAATCCGACACTTGTTATAATCGGTGCCTATCATTAGAATTGTATGCTAATCTGTGTAAATATTCAAATGAGCGATTATCTCTCTTTGGGAAAGATGAATTCACAAGGGTCACATGGCAGCCAACCAGTTGCTATATAGCAAGAGATAAATTCCCACGATAGTAACTACTTGATCTCACGAGTTAAATAGAGGACACAGCGGCCTGCCTGTTTTCATGTCGTTAAAAAATTACAAGTAAGACTCTCTCTATTTTCGACCTTTTCACACTGCTTGTTGTATTCATATGTGCTATAATTTTTCTGTGTAGGACAAATAGTGATACAAAAGTATATATATATATATATATATATATATATATATATATATATATATATATCTTAGGAAAAAGTACTTACATTTTACTGTTATCCGCATCTAGAAAATTCATGCGGATGTAAAATTGGTTATTGTTACAATCACACTATCATCAAGCGGTAAAAGAATCAATAAGATACTCATTCCAAAAATTATTTCCTAATATATTTTATATCTGCTGTCTTTGTATATATTTCATATAACTATAACTATATATATATATATATATATTGTGACATGGCTCTCAATGTTAAGTCTTGGATCAGATGTATAGTCAATTTAATAAGAGATGCGCTGTCTTTGTGTTTCTTCATCTCCCCCTTTCTCTTTTTTTGTTTTACTCCCTATCTGAACTGAGTATTGCTTCGGGAAAGGAATTTGGGGTCACTTGACAACAAACAGAATGACCTCCTGAGAAAGTGAGTAGGAATCGGACAACTACGCCCACGTGATATACATCACCAAGTTGGATTTTGGTATCGTAATTTTAGTTTTCCGATGATCTCCAACGACAAAAGTTCGTGAAAAAAAAAAAAAGAACTTCTTCATGCGATCGTAAGGGATGATAAATACACCCACACGCCTATTCCATTACTTATTGTGGAAGGAATAAAGAGATTTCGTTCTGGAGATCTTGGGTCTATTTGACTATTTAATTGGTAATGAGTAAAGGAATATTGTACCCAAAGAAATACGAAGAAAACATTTTACATTCATTTTGGATGCAATCCAATTAAGCAAGGGGAAACGGAGCGCAAACATTATTCCGGAATTCTATATTTCGCAATACGGAAGAAAGAGCAACCAACTTTTGTGGATATTCAAATTCCAAATTCCTGAAACAGAAACATTTGAACAGACATCAAATATCAGCTGAGTGTTCTTTTATTAATTGTACATCTGTTACTCCATACTTTTCCTACATTTTGTATTGTGTTATATGAAATTTATTTATAAATCTTAATATTGGGTTTGTTGTTAATCAGTGCCTGGTCGTGTGTCTGAGCGATTCACCTTTTTCATACCTTTATACGTTGCGAATTCGTAACAATATATATATATATATATATTCTCATATATTTATACATATATATATAAATATTCTCATATATATATATATATATATATATATATATATATATATATATATATATATATATATATAAAATTTATTTAATGAAAACAGACACTTTAAAGGTACCATTACAATAACTTATTTCACCAAAATCCTTTTTAAAGGATTTCGGATCATCAGGTACCACTTCCAACAATGAAAAAAAACAAACAATTCGGTTTACCAAGTTCTTCATAACTTATATATATATATATATATATATATTATAAATTAATTGATTTAAAATATGTTTTTTTTCGCTACACAGTACTAACTATGTTTAAAAAATGGAAGCGAAAAGCCCCGAATTTAATTTTGTTATTAAATTAAAGACATTAGTTCCATTTCATCCTCAAGCGAATTTTCGGGGCTTTTAGCTACCATTTTTGAAACATGGTTAGAACTGTGTAGCAAAAAAAAAACAAACAAACCATATTTTAAATCAATTAATTTATAATATTAATGCTCTGTAAATTTACATTGAGCATTATTTTGTAAAAATAAAAATATCTATAAGAACACCGGATTATATATCTTACTGTTCATTCTTTATATATATATATATATATATATATATATATATATATATATATATATATATATTCTCATATATATATATATATATATATATATATTCTCATATCTATCTATATATATATTCTCATATATATATATATATATATATATATATATATATATATATACTCATGACCTGACGATTGAGCACGTTATCGCATAAATATAGCACACATTAAAACTATATTTCTGCATATATATATATATATATATATATATATATATATATATATAAAAATTTTCTCCGATTTAACCAGTAGAAAGACAATATTTATGAATAAAAATGACAATAGGAAAACTAGTAATTGCTGACGCGTTTCGTCCAATGTGGACTTTATCAAAGTAAAATATAAAAAAAAAAATAAAAAAATAAACGCATCCGCAATTACCAGTTTCCCTATTGTCATTTTTATTCTTCATATATATATATATATATATATATATATATATATATATATATATATATATATATATATATATATATTCATTTGTATTGATATGAGTTTGTGACCCTGCGTTTCACGCCTTTTCGATTATCAGACAAACTGATTTATTTTATAAAATTTAATCAATTTATCCTTGTTTGTGTTTGATTATGTTTTTCACACAAACACATCCATCTGAGATTAGGCGCAGATACACATCTTTGTTTCCAAGCACACATACATACATAATTTCGATTTTATTTCGGTATCGAAATTGTAATTCTATTTCGGTGTATGTTAGCTCAATCACTGATATTCAGCACTTTCAATAAGTACTGCGCATATAATATATATATATATATATATATATATATATATATATATATATATATGTGTGTGTGTGTGTGTGTGTGTTTCGGCTTTAAATAACCCACAAAGGGTTAATAAACCGTAAAAAAAAACAACAATTCAGTCAATGAATCAGACAGTAAACGCAGAATAATTTCTCCTCCTTCACTCATTCGTTGCGTATTCACATCAGCAGAAACTGGCGACTTACAGGAGTCCTAATGATTGAAAATCTCAATGTTCTAGGACTCTCCTTGGTAGTGTGGATTACCCAACTTGGTTTTAACAAATGATCATTGGATATGATAGAAAGAAGAAACTACTTACCTCCCTTGTTTTCATCACCACCACCACCACATTTTTTTGCAGATTTTTTGCAGTTGACCAGCATGTAATCCGGGTTCTTTTTGACATTCGCCATTTGAAGCCCAGTATTTGCATTTCTCATTCGTGTCGACGCAGTCTATCAAAAACCAAAAACTATTTTCAGAAAATCTTTTCTTTGCATGATTTTAATCAAAAACGATACAAAGAAATTTTGATTATCACAAAGGTTGGACAGTTACAAAAAATATTAAATAATCCCTTTTCCCATCATGCAAAAAAAAAAGAAAAAAAAGGGAAACAAAAAGGCTATATTCAGCTAACCTCCATTACATAATTCGAAACTAAGGCTTTCCTCCTTTTTACCACATGTCTTTGCTGTTGGGTTTATCAAATATATATGGATGGCCTTAATAATACCTGTCGTTGGTACAGATATTTTCACACTCATTTCAAATAAAGATGGCCAGAGAGAAGCCGGGAAAGTGTGAATTAAAATTCAACTTTTTAAAAGGAAAACATTCTATCAAAGTATAGAAATGTGTTACGCGCCTTCTCTCCAACTCTGAAAAGAGAAACTAGTGGATGTTAAAAAAGCTGTTTGGTTTGGTTTGATTTGTTTTACGGTACATAAAACTTAATGGGTTATTTAATGCCAACAAGACTTTTATTGCTGGTAATATTTTTCCAAAAATGTATTTATGGTAATAATTATTTTCTTTAAAATTTCATTGCGGGTAATAATTTTTTCGAAAAATATATTGATGGTATTAAAACCTATTTTAACACTTTCATTGCGTTTTGACCCCAGTTTGATGGTTAACTATTTGCCTATAGCTGGGACCCTAACAGGTGTCACCACCATGGGTCAGGGTGGACCTGGGAACACCGGCAATTAAGAGGTAGTTCTACCCACCTCAAAACCTTCTGATCACAGGCCTCGCTGTAGGATGTAGTTTATTGTCTTACCCAGGCCGCGTATGTAGTTTATCGTCATAAACAAGACAAGAAAAAGGCTGCACATCATGTTGCAAGGGGCTGTGTGTAACCCGCGTGCCTTGAAAGCATCTTCACTGACTGGTTATTAAGGGTCAAATGACTGACCAAAAACGGTGAACACTAATTGGAGAAGAGGAAGGAACATTAAGCCAACGCCTCAACTTGAATTCGAACCCGGTTTGCTGAATGTGTTATTTGTAATAGCCTCTACACTACTCTGGTTCTCTAACGAAGATGCTTGAATTAGAGGGAAAAACAAGAGAGAAAGAGAGAGAAAGAGAGAGAGAGAGAGAAGAAAACGAAAGGGAGAAAAAAGTATAATAGAGAAAAATGAGAGAAAACAAGAGAGAGAGAGAGAGAGAGAAAGAGAGAGAGAAAGAGAGAGAGAGAAAGTGAGAAAGAAAAGGACAACTAAAGGATAGAGAAAGAGGGAGAAGGAGAGAGAAACTAAACGTGAGAGAGAAGGATAGAATGAGAGAGATAACCAGAGAGAGAGAGTGAGAAAAATGGGTAAGAGAGAGAAATGGGAGAGAACACGAAAGTAAGAGTAAAGCGTAGAGAAAACAAGAGGGAGAAAGAGAGAGAGAGAGAGAGAGAGAGAAGGACAAAAAAGAACTAAACAAGAGAGATACAGAGACATAGAAACTAAACCAGAGAGAGAGGAGGATAGAGAAAGGGAGAAAAAGAAACTAAACGAAAGTGAGAGAGAGAGAGAGGGAGGGAGAAGGACAGAGAGAGAGAAAGAGTTAGGGAGAGATAAATGGAAGAGAAAACGAAAGTGAGGGAAAAGTATATAGAGAAAAACAAGAGAAAACAAGAAAAACATAGAAGAGAGAGAACGAGAACTAAACGTGAGTGACACAGAGAGAGAGAGAGAGAGAGACAGAGAGAATAGCTAAATCATATATATATATATATATATATATATATATATATATATATATATGCTTCGGCTTTTAACAACCTACAAAGGATTAATAAACCGTAAAAAACCCATAAAAACAAAAAATTCAGTCAATGAATCACACATTCAACGCAGAATAATTTCTCCTCCTTCACTCATTCGTTGCGTATTCACATCAGCAGAAACTGGCGACTTACAAGAGTCCTAATGATTGAAGACCTCAATGTTCTAGGACTCTCCTTTGTAGTGTGGATTACCCAACTTGGTTTTAACAAATGATCATTGGATATGATAGAAAGAAGAAACTACTTACCTCCCTTGTTTTCATCACCACCACCACCACATTTTTTGCAAGATTTTTTGCAGTTGACCAGCATGTAATCCGGGTTCTTTTGACATTCGCCATTTGAAGCCCAGTATTTGCATTTCTCATTCGTGTCGACGCAGTCTATCAAAAAACCAAAAACTATTTTCAGAAAATCTTTTCTTTGCATGATTTTAATCAATAACAAAACAAAGAAATTTTGATTATCACAAAGGTTGGACAGTTACAAAAAAATATTAAATAAACCCTTTTCCCATCATGCAAAAAAAAAGAAAAAAAAAGGGAAACAAAAAGGCTATATTCAGCTAACCTCCATTACATAATTCGAAACCAAGGCTTTCCTCATTTTTACCACATGTCTTTGCTGTTGGGTTCATCAAATATATATGGATGTCCTTAATAATACCTGTCGTTGGTACAGATATTTTCACACCCATTTCAAATAAAGATGGCCAGAGAGAAGTCGGGAAAGTGTGAATTAAAATTTAACTTTTTAAAAGGAAAACATCCTATCAAAGTATAGAAATGTGTTACGCGCCTTCTCCCCAACTCTGAAAAGAGAAACTAGTGTATGTTAAAAAAGCTGTTTGGTTTGGTTTGATTTGTTTTACGGTACATAAAACTTAATGGGTTATTTAATGCCAACAAGACTTTTATTGCTGGTAATATTTTTCCAAAAATGTATTTATGGTAATAATTATTTTCTTTAAAATTTCATTGGGGGTAATAATTTTTTCGAAAAATGTATTGATGGTATTAAAACCTATTTTAACACTTTCAATGCGCTTTGACCCCAGTTTAATGGTTAACTATTTGCCTATAGCTGGGACCCTAACAGGTGTCACCACCATGGGTCAGGGTGGACCTGGGAACACCGGCAATTAAGAGGTAGTTCTACCCACCTCAAAAGCTTCTGATCACAGGCCTCGCTGTAGGATGTAGTTTATTGTCTTACCCAGGCCGCGTATGTAGTTTATCGTCATAAACAAGACAAGAAAAAGGCTGCACACCATGTTGCAAGGGGCTGTGTGTAACCCGCGTGCCTTGAAAGCATCTTCACTGACTGGTTATTAAGGGTCAAATGACTGACCAAAAACGGTGCACACTAATTGGAGAAGAGGAAGGAACATTAAGCCAACGCCTCAACTTGAATTCGAACCCGGTTTGCTGAATGTGTTATTTGTAATAGCCTCTACACTACTAACAAGAGAGAAAGAGAGAAAGAAATAGAGAGAGGAGGGAAGAAGAAAACGAAAGTGAGAAAAAAGTATAATAGAGAAAAATGAGAGAAAACGAGAGAGAGAGAGAGAAAGAGAGAGAGAGAAAGTGAGAAAGAAAAGGACAACTAAAGGATAGAGAAAGAGGGAGAAGGAGAGAGAAACTAAACGAGAGAGGAGGATAGAATGAGAGAGATAACCAGAGAGAGAGAGAGAGTGAGAAAATGGGTAAGATAGAGAAATGGAAGAGAACACGAAAGTGAGAGTAAAGCATAGAGAAAACAAGAGGGAGGGAGAGAGAGAGAGAGAGTAGGATATAAAAGAACTAAACGAGAGAGAGACAGAGAGATAGAAACTAAACGAGAGAGAGAGGAGGATAGAGAAAGGGAGATAGAGAAACTAAACGAGGGAGAGAGAGAGGGAAAAGAACAGAGAGAGAGAGAGAGAGAAAGAGAGAGGGAGAGATAAATGGAAGAGAAAACGAAAGTGAGAGAAAAGTATATAGAGAAAAACAAGAGAAAACAAGAGAAAAAGAAGAGAGAGAACGAGAACTAAACGTGTGACAGAGAGAGAGAGAGAGAGAGTGAGAGAGAGAATAGCTAAATCAGAGAGATAAACTAAATGAGAGAAGGATAGAGAGAGAGAAAAAAAGATAAACGCGAGAGAAAGAAGTATAGAGATAAAATTAAACTAAACGTGAGAGAATGTGTATGTGTGTGTGTGTGAGAGAGAGAGAGAAAGTGATAAAGAGAGAGAGAGAGAGAAATTTAAGCGCGTCAGAGAAAGAAAACGAGAAGTAAACAAGAAAGGAAGAGAAGCAGAAAAAGAATTAGAAATCGATATTGTTAATCAAACCTTTATTTCCGCCGCCTCCGCCGCCTCCACCTTTGGAGCAAAAAGAAAAAAAAATACGAGAAAATATAAATATGGTTTTCTTTCTTTTAAGAAAGCAAATATCTTTTTCTGTTCGTCTTTGTGCTAGATTATTCTAAAATGTAAGAGGAAGAAAAAAGAAAAGCAACTTGAAATATAGCTAAAACCAACAAAAATAGACGATTTTAAATAAATTAAAATTTAGCGCTTTTATATACAAACTATTATATAATTCTTGACTTGAAATGTTTCCATGTTTGTTTATATTTTCTTCGAATAACTAAGTTCCTTTTCTTCACACTTTAAAAACTTTCTATGAATTTGTTTTGAAAAACAAAGCTATAAATCAAATAACTAAAGCGAAATTAACATAACACAGCAACTTATTTTCTGAAGGCATAAAAACATTAAAATATTTGAAGAGAAAATATGAATAACTTTAGATTCGTTCTAATTACACAGGAGTGAAACCTTTGTTGTAAAACGGTTATCACTTATTCATTGAAGACAAAACAGTACTCACTACTCTACTTATTTTGTAACTGATATATTTCCTCAATAGCGTATATATGTATCTTACTTATTATAAAACGCAGATTGTGTGTGTGTGTGTGTGTACGTTTATATATGGGATCGTATTTCCTACATTTTTCACCCGATTTCAACAAAACTTCACAGGACTACGTAAAATTACCCGGCGGTGGTTCTGACAGCGCCAAAATTTGGAAAAACACAATTGTTTTTTGCACGAAATCAATTTGAAAACACGATTAAGTCGCCAGAATGAAAGGGGGGCAACTCATATCGAGTTATACTTATCATAAAACCCAGGTTGTTTGTGTGTGTCTGTGTTCGTTTATATATGGGATCGGATTTCCTACATTTTTCAACCGATTTCAACAAAACTTCACTTTTTTTTTGGCAGGTCATGTTTCTTATTGTCTTGCACACTTTTTTCTTTATTTTTACATTAAGAATGCTTTAAAAATTCCTTTTAAAAGACAATTGTTTATAATAAAAAAACAATGCTTTTGTTTGAGTTTGGGTTTGACCAATTCGTAAAAAAAAACTAAAAACAAAAACAAAAAAAAACAAAACTAATTAAGACATGAGTGTCCATCAACCACAAACAATAATCTTTGTCAATTTTATTTTTCCGTCTTTATGATGGTCGATACTTGATCTATCTCTTACTGTTACATCCCCGGCTCTACTGCTAGTATATATATATATATATATATATATATATATATATATATATATATATATATATATATATCCTAATGAAAATCCACCACAGATGGGCAAGGCATATTTCTCGTATGGGTGACTTCCAAAACAATTCTTCTTTGGCCAGCTTCTAACTGCTGAAAGGCTACGTTTTTTCTTCCCAGGAAAACAAAGCTTCAGTGCGAAGGAGCTGGGCGCCTGTCCTGCTTCTCATCTATACAAAGGTTTGAGCAAGGCCGTCTTGAACATCGGGATCAACTGCGTGCAAATATTAAAGAATGCTGACAGCATGCTGCTCCTCTCAATGATAGCCTTACCTGCCACTGTGGCTTTGTCGCCCGCACTAAAGCAGGCCTTACTGTCCACTCGCGGAAAAATGCGGCAATTGATCCTCAACCGCATGTTCCATGTGTCTAAAAGTTTGCAAAACACATGTAGGCTACGGGAGACACATGCGTGTCCATAAAATTTGAACACCTCTTTATTTTAATGTGTCCTCATTTGTCGGCCGCGACGATAGAGTCCACCATCTATCGTTATTCGATCGAGCACTATAGAGAAAAGGGTGATTTCAAAACAGTAGCTGTCACCGCTAATAACGCACCGTTCTTCATTAACGAATTGAGCCCTCTGGCTGCTATCGTTTGCATACATCCATATATAATACATTAAATTCTGCCTTTCTCTGCCGTGTGCCGATAGCTTAGGGTTTCGATCCCATCTTGAAGCAATCGGATCTCTAGCCACACTGATGATACAGCGAAACAGGCTTGTATGTAAATGACTATATATATATATATATATATATATATATATATATATATGGTGGACTCTCTTAAGGGCAAATACCAATATGAATGCATGGTATATAATGTAGAGATGTATAGCAACAGACCAATAAAAGTGTCATATAGGAATAAAGTGTCACTGCCGACACTTGAGATTGAACATGGAGCAAACACAGGCGATTGAATTAAATAGACCACGTGACCATGGGAGAAATGCATAAGTAGGAAATTGCGTGACGTCTAAATGATCGCCATACCTATTCTGTCCTCTATTACTATACGGAGCGCTATTCTCTACTCTATTCACTATACTATTTCTCTATTTGGATCACTATTCGGTGGTTACTATTCGAGCGAGTATTATCGAGCAAGTACTATTAATATGAGTGACTATTCAAAGGCGTCTGACACCAGTATTGTTCAACGGCGTTACTATAGTTGTAGCTGTGATTACAAAGTCTCTACTACAACGAGCATTACAAAAGTAACAACGAGTATTCGTTGACATTACAAAAAGAATAGTAGTAGTAATAATAGTAGTAATGGTAAAAAAGTATACGTGGGTTCCTTCAAAAAAGGTGTTACAATCATAGAAGTAGTTTCACACACGAAATATACAGGCATAGGTCTAGTTTATCTATCTGTGGGGAAATAAAAAGAAGCAAGGTATAGATCTTATATTAAAATGGGAGATAGTAAAATAAATGCCATAAATATAAGGCTGGTGATAGATATTGCCTCCTATGTATGGAGGAAAAGTTAGCTATAGCCTTTTACAATACGCCTAATGATTTACTGAACCAGAGAGTTTTAAATACTTAATGGTTGTAGGCATAAGAAAGCCCAATTACGTGGCAATTAGAATGTGGGTTTGTTTCTGATGCTAATTTTTTTATTCTTTCTGATGGCCGCCTTATCAATGAAATGTCGTTTGGGCCAACTCTCTTTAGTCAGAATTATTCTGAAGAACCGGAATGCTTCGTAGATAGGTTCTGGCTCTTTAAGTAATCTAATTTTGCTCTATTTAGTGTATTAAGCACTTTTACGTATCAGCTTAGGTAATTCTGTTAGTATTTTTCTTTTGGCTAGACATTGCTGTGCTGGTTGATTATTTTCAAGCAGCACGGATGTTTTTAGTCTTTTCTTTTTTTTATTGAATTTTTCACCCAGATATCAGTTTGTGTAATATTTTTTTATTTATTTACAAATTGCATCATCTGGGGTTTTTTTTACACCGCCAGAGTTATAGCATAGGTGTAAAAAAAAAAAAAAAGAATATATATATATATCGTAGTTAAATAAAACGTATTCTAACCTAAACACCCTCCCCCAAAAATCTTTAAATATACAAATAGAAAAAGATGCCGTAAAAAAAATCCAGACGACATGCATTTAACGGATGTCAGATTTCATTGAAAAATACATCCTTACCCATAAACGTAACTAATAACTGATACATCAAAATACAGCGATAATGAACACGCAATCACCCCTTGTCTGGATGAATGGATTTCTCTGTATCCTTGGAAACGTGAATTATGATTTTTGCTGTGTCTTTAAAACCCCGTAATTTTAAAAGTTACTCCAAAATTCGCTTGAGGATGAAATGGAACTAATGTCTTTAATTTAATTACTAAATTAAATTCGGAGCTTTCAGCTTCCATTTTTAAAACATGGTTAGAACTGTGTAGCGAAAAAAAAAGCATTTTAAATCAATTAATATATATATATATATATATATATATATATATATATATATATATATATACTTGAACCTACAGAAGCAGAACACAGATTTAAAGTTAGCTAACATCATTTTAGGTACCTTTCAGGATTCCATTTCAGCCAAAACTTTATCAAAGGTGGATTTTGGCCCAATTAAACAAACTCCAGACACAATTCACAAAAGAATTAGCGAATGAGGAGGGGAAATTAAAATGCGATTAAAACAAATTTTAATTGGAAATAATTAACTATATAAAACAAATATTAATGGGTTTCAAAAGAGTATAAAATAGAAAAAGCTTACTCATACACCCTTGTGAAAATTAATTGAAACAAAACGAATAATTTCGTTTTTTTTGTTTTTTTTTTCGCACATGTTAGTACTTTGCATGTCCATTCCACGAAGTCTCTCCTTGCATATTGACCCTAGATTCTTGATTGGATTTAAATCAGGAGAGTTTCCGAGTCAGTCGATAGTACTTTGATTTGCTCACTGGTAAGGCTTGCCAGTGTGTTCGTGGAGCGTTATAATTTTTGTACGCTTCCTTACAATAACGTCCATCGGAGACAATGATCGTAAGACAACTAATCGACAGTCGGGACAATAGTGTCTGGGCGTAATAAAAATTTGATGCAATCACGGACGACGCAATATTTTTCAAGGTCAAACAAATGTCATCATACACCCCGAAAATAGATTCATATTAGTGCATACCACTGCAAATGACCTAATCTGAGGAAAAAATAGAAATCGATTACACCCTGTCACTCCAGTGTGTCTAAAACTGACCGTTAGGTGAAAGAAAGAAAACTAAAACAGTTGTTTCAATTAATTTGCACAAAGGTATAGTCCTCCAAATATACACAGGGAACAAATAAAATGATCCTACTGTCGACATAGTCTCGGCTGATATAATTTAATACATACAGCTGCGAGATCTGACCAAAGAGTTATTTTTTAAGCTACAAGCTTTTGATTGGGAGAAGCTGCAACCTGAGAACGAATCTGGTACCTGGTCTGAGCTGCAACGCTACACTAATTACATCGTCTTTAACTCAAAGCAAACATAACTGTCGGTAATTATACTGAAAAACAGAGTATAGCTTCTTACCGGAGCATTTTTGGGTAGGTTGATAGGCGTTCGAACCGGGACAAATGCACTGGCAATTCTTGTCTAAATAACCCTGGCCAGGACATGATTTTCCTTTACAATGACCTAAGAACAAATAAACGGTTTATAATTCTTGTTAAATTTTGGAAATTCAGTATAGATGCCCAATATTTGAGAAAAACAAAATTTTGTATTCATAAAAGCATAATAATTTATAAATATAATAAAAATATGTTAAAATATTAAAATAATTGACCAGTTTTCGTACAACAATACGTGTAATGACAAAACAAAAACATACCATGCATAGGTATAATAAAAGAATATAAAGTTTATGAAAACTTTTACCCGGATTCACATGAGTCCGTCAAATATAGTTTGCGGGACATGTATCAGGAGAAGTAAACATTTACTAAAATACAACCACACCTCACAAGAAAAGTGGTGATTCCCACAACAGTTTGCTGTGTGGAGTCATATTTTTCCTTGCAACATTTTACTTCTCTAAGAGTTCACCAATGAGCTTTAATATAATTTTTGCATCATGTGTAACATTTCTAATTCATGTCTAAATCGTTTATACAGTATAATAGCGTACTCTATATTACAAATAATAAACAACTTTGAAAATCCATTCTCAATTCTGTAAATTACACAGTACAATTAAATATTCATTTTTGCTATATTTATTCATTTTATTTATTTTGAAGAAACAAAATTTTTTTTTAAATATTTTACTTTTTTATTTTATTTTAATTTATTTCATAAATTTTATTATATATTATTTATTATATAATATTATATATATATATATATATATATATATATATATATATATATATATATGTGTGTGTGTGTGTGTGTGTGTGTGTGTGCGCGTGTGTGTCTATATATTTCCAAAAGTAAAAGAACGAAGAGTAAGAATTCAGCGTTCAAATCATTAATTTAAAACAGGGCTCAATACAAAATTAGAGCAATAAATATTTATTTATTATGCATTGCTACATTTGACCATGCACATACCCACTACAAAACTGTACATCTTGTTTCAACGTTAAATTTTTTTTAACAGTGCATCAGGTGGGAAATCTTGATGCTACAAAAGAATTTTAACATTGAAAGCAGATGGATAGTTTTTTAGTGGGTATGTGCATGTTCTAATGTAACACTGCATAATATATATATATATATATTTAAATTTTTTATTTTATGAAATTTTAAGGCGAATCTGGTGAGTTGTTAGACGGGTAAGTCGTTGAGTGAGGAATAACCCAATAAGAAAGAACGTAAGAAGAAAAAGAAAAAGATAATGATATATATATATATATAATGTATACTAACTTCCGCACTGGTACATTAGATTAGCGAGTTTAATGTCACGGAAGCTAAGTCCAGGAGCCTTGCCAATGATACTCTGATACTTAGAATTTTTGGTCTGAATAGTCCGTTGTCCATTGTGGGAGAAAGCCTGTAAATATATATATATATATGTATATATAAATAAAAAGAAAGCCTGTAAATATGCATATATAAATAAAAAGAAAGAACAGTAAGATGTATAATCCGGTGTTAATTTAATTACAAAATTAAATTCGTAGCTTTTAGCTTCCATTTTTGAAACATGGTTAGAACTGTGTAGCGAAAAAAAATCATATTTTAAATAAATCAATTCATAATATATATATATATATATATATATATATATATATATATATATATATATATAGAGAGAGAGAGAGAGAGAGAGAGAGAGAGAAGAAACGTTAAAATAAAAACAAATGTATTTGATTTCAAAGAAAATATCAGCGGTTAATTTTACGAATCAAATATACATGTAATCAAAAATGACCGTATAAAAATGTATTTTTTAATGACTAAGACATAAGTACACAAAACAGGGTGTGGTAGAATTAGAAACAGAAACATTAATAATGAGCGGGAAGAGGAAAGAGTAATCAGAGACAGTAGATAGCGATTGACATTGCATTTAAATTTTTGCAGATTAAAGTTGGTTGGAACGCATGGAGCCGGAAGGTAGTTCCACAAGGAAGGCAATAAAGCCACTAAGGCACAAGGGGTTACAGGGTGTGGAAGAATTAGGAACAGAAACATTAATAATAAGCGGGAAGAGGGAAAAGTAATCAGGAGGACAGTAGATAGCGATTGACATTGCATTTAAATTTTTGCAGATTAAAGGTGGTTGGAAAGCATGGAGCCGGAAAGGAGTTCCACAAGCGAGAAGTGTGAGAAAAGAAACTGTTAGCATAGAACTTACGGCTTACATCTAACCGGCTTAACTGTAAATTGATGAGATTATCGACGCCAGTTTAGTATTGCGCTTAAATTACACAAATCGAAGCACCATAGCGAAGAGTTCATCTGAACAATTATCATGAAAGTATTTATCGAAATGACAGAGTGTGTATAAATTGTTCAAATATTCTGTACATCCGAGAGCTTTCAACTATTCTATTAGGCATTATCAAGGGTTTAAACAAATTTTTTTTAACTGAATGTGTAGATTTTTTTATACGTTTCAAGTGTTATGGGTATATTTTATTATATTCCAAAAACGGTCAGCATAGTGTGGCCGTGTTAATAGTTGATACTATTGAGTGTCGGCTTTTTCTTTTTTATTATTAGTGTTTCCATTATTTTTAGTCTTTTTTTTTTTTTTTACATGTGAATGAGGCTATTATACTTGTATTTTCTCCAACTATGTTGTGGATGATGCTTGGTAAATTTCCGTGCCTTTTAAAATGGGTCCTAATTGAGCTATTGTCAGAGAGTTGTCACGTGAATCTTCTTGGTAGGCATGTAGTCAGTCAGTCATGTGCCATGCGTGATACACGCTTATGCGATCATGTATCTTTCGATAGATGATTGACGAGGCAGAATTTTTCCCGCAGTAGGTTGCCATTTCTTTCTGCGGTAGACTAGTTGCCATCCAAGGTTATGAAACCTAGTCTATCTTGCTATTTACCCATAGCTGGGGGGAGAAGAGGATTCATACCTTTCCCAAGGGTATTAGCACGTAAGTGAATGCAATGAATTTGATTCGATTCCTCAATTCGAGCCGCTGTCCACCGTGCCTGTAGTAGTATGTCCAATATAATTATTCACTTATATACTTATACGGACACAAGAAAAGCTTAATTGTCGAAACCGCTACTAGAGGACGCTTTCCTGTCTATAAATACTCAGCGATATCTTTGCTCACCCTCTTTTTCTCATTTTTCCGCATTTACGTCAACATGTAAATTTCTTGCGGAAGAACGCGTTCTCTTTTTGGGACACGCATGAACAATACACGCACACACACGTACGTACGCACTTTTCACCTACACCAACTACACATACGCAAGCAATTCATTAGCTTAAATGTTTTCTACATTCATGTTCATTGTTCATTAACACAACAATATTCTATTGTATATATAGCCCTTTCTTGTTAAGACATTATCATTTGTTTACACACACACACACACACACACACACACATATATATATATATATATATATAATATGTGAAAATATATAGAAAATAGGAAGGAACTGGTTAGGTAAATAATCCAAAGTTCCTTAGTATTTTAGTTATTATTTTTAAAAAATAGTGCTCGATACAAAAGTAGAGCATAAATGTAATTATTTATTTAAAAATATGATTCCAACAGGCACCAATTTAGACACCCCCCACTTTCCCTGACTTGACATCTATGAAAGTAACTCTATACTGATACTTATTATTAACACCCAACACTCGCCTACCCCTATTTAAACAATTCGCCCTAGCTGTTACCATGGAAATTTTGATTTCAATTATTAAAACACGTAAATTTCAGAAATACGTTATTCCAAAAATAATTTCGCTTGAAGATGGAACAGAGCTTACTTTAACTCAATTTAATTCAAATAATTATATTGAAGTTTTCGGCTCTTGTTTTGAAACATGAGACTTCTTATGTCGCGAGTTGGAATCATATTTTTAAATAAATAATTATATATATATATATATATATATATATATATTGGTCTTTGTTGTTTCCTGGCATTTTTTTACGTGTACTCATACTCCGAGTCTATCATGTTGGTTGCGGGCATTTCCGGAGACATACGTGTTTATCCCTCAACGTGTACACCAGCTCGCAACAGCTGGCTTTCCGTATGTGTTTAAATTGGTCCTAATTGAGCTATTGTCAGGTCAGGTGTCAGGTGAATCTTCTTGATAGGCATGAAGTGGTATGTCCAATATAATTATACACTTATACGAACACAAGAAAAATGAAATAAAACTGAATCGAGGTACCGAGTCAGTCTTCTTTAATAAAATTTGTATAAACTTATATATATTTAGAATAAATTTACGAATGAACGACGCTTATAATACAAGTGAGTAGACAGAATTAATTTTTTTTAGCAGAGTTAGATATTCTATGGTAAAACCTTTCTACTTACATATGCTCCATAATGCATAACGCTGGTGTAGTCATATGGAACGCGGTAATCATCGACATACCCGGTTGTGTATCTTTGAAAATTGTAGTACATGCTACTAGGAATGTTTTGTCGCAATATGTACACATAACTGTCCCTGTCAGGACGTGTCTGTTCATGTTGAAAACCAATTGCGTGTCCTAGTTCATGAACAATAATCTTTTTCTGAAAAAATAAAACAAAATGAAAAATAGAAATGCAAAATTTCAAAACGAGACAAAAAAAAAAAAAAAATTAAGTAAGAGTTATCTCCCTGTCTTACCAGGAAGTTATTTCCCTTGTATTGTTTTAAGGCTTTAGAAATTGAGAAGCAAAATGTATGCGAGCCAAAAGTTTTTTTCCATAGTTAAACGACAGAAAATATGACACAGAAATCTAAAGGCACATATGAACAGTGAAAAATGCCTTCAAGAAACTAAGCAAAATATTAAAACGCTAGAAATATCCGTGAAAATTTTACGATTTTCCTATTTGAATATTTTGATTAATCTAACTAAATTCTTACGTTAATGATGCTTATTCGCTCATGGCGAGTACTACGGCAATAATATATTCATATAAATTTCTAACTATAAATTCCCTATCGCATCGATAAATATTTGATCTTAACGTCAACAAAATATTGCAATAACAATCATAAATCTGAATGCTGGTCGTTATTTTAAGAAGTAAGGGTTGGGGCGGGGGGTACAAATGAAAAGATTTTAAATTGACAACTTTTTTTTTCATTTCGCTGAAACAGACGTTAAACACTCCTTTTTTTATTTATTTCTTTTTCTAACTAAACCAAGTAGCGTGTCTGATATGTTTTACCGTCTTTCCAAGAGATCGGAATAGTGTATTATTTATGAGGTAGAGACAGGTAACGGTCGTGCTAACTAAGGGGTGAGACAAGCGAAATTATAATAAAATGTGTTAATTTGCAGTATAAGCATCCACGGTAATGAAAATGTTGCATTATGGCGTGAAAATGCCCGATTATTTCGAAAATGACAGTAAAAGTTTGCGTTCGATTACCGTTTAGGAGTTATGGACAGTGTAAGTTCGATCTCTTTCGCATTGTCCAGCCGCCATTACTGGCATTGTTTACTTACTTTTACCTCTAGTAGTAATGCGCGGAAGCTTACTTAGCTAACGGCCTTTTTACTGCTTTTCGTATTTTTTTTACCCGTCTTGATTACTGCGCAATTTTCGTGAGTTATTTTAAAATGCGCTTTTTTTTTTTTTTTTTTTTTTTTTAAATGAAGCTTTAAATGGATAATTTTTATTTAATTGGTATAAATTTCTTTTTTCCAATTAAAACGTATCATTTCTTTGTAGGAGTGGAGCCTTATTAAATAATGAATTCTTTTTTTATTAAATTGGTTTAAATTTGTTATAAAAAACAATTGAAAGCTTTAATTTAGGTTTTATTTTTCGTTTTTTTTCATTTTTACTGATATATTTAGAATCGCGCAATCATTCTAAACTTCGCGCATTGCGCAGTAATTAAGACAAGTGAAGCTTCCGCGCATGATTACTCGAGGCAAACGTATGAAAACAAACCCAGTAATGGCAGCTGTTCCGTCGAATGTCTGAATGTCCGAGAAATTTTCATAAAAAATATTCAGGCCGGTAAATGTTATTTAATACTGTTTATTATAAACAGAGCATTTACTTAAATACTTGTATCTATAAAAAAGAACGTTAAACATAAAAATGTCTTTAATAAATAAATTGTCGGACTTTGTCCATTTCTTAATATATATATATATATATATATATATATATGCATATATATGCGTTTGTGTGGAGACAGACAGACTTCTAATTCCGGCACGAAATCTGTCTTTACCGGGGTTGAATATGACAGACGAATTTTATTTTTTCGACGGTTGAAATAAGCTTATATGAGGTGATCTTGGGTTTTATTGTGTATTAATAAATTTGCTTTGTAATGATAAATACACTGAGCTCTTTTTTGGGGATCAGTTTTAATATTTGATATTACTAGGATCCACTTGGATTATATACCAACGGATTTATTACCTTTATATATATATATATATATATATATATATATATATATATATATATATATATATATTGAAAAATTTACTTACCACTCGACAGTTTCGTGCCAGTGATACAACTTGAACGCCCCCTCGCATTCCAACGTACGAGGAACATCTGAAATTTATTAAAAGAAAAAAACATTTATTTCACTCCGACCATTATTATAATTACAAATACACAATATCTAATAACAATTCTTTGGTTTTTTTTTATGTATTTGCCAATATAATGATTTTCATGTATATTTGATATCATGTCGAGATTACGTCATTTTTTGAAGTAGCTTAAATTTATTTTACAAAATAAAAACCTTTCTAAAATCGTTTTCCGAAAAGTTCTAATTTAGATAAGTCGATCATACATTCTTTTTCTTTATCAGGAACCAAAAAACTTAGATTTGAAGAAATTGGGAATCAGTAACAGTATTATAAAAAAAATAGGAAAAAGAGAGAAAAAGGTGCTACCACCCCGGGGTCTCTGCTATGAGCAAATAAGCCCTCCACAAAAGGGGTCAAAACACAATGAAAGTATAAAAATATGTTTTAAAACCAGCAATACTTTTTGTAAAAATTATTACCAGCAATACATTTGTGAAAAGAAAAAAATATTACTAGCAATAAAAATCTTGTCGGCATTAAATAACCCATTGAGGTTAAGTTTTAATTCACAGAAAATATAACGAAGAAAAAGGTTTCTATACGAGGAATGTTGAAAAGGTCTCGGCCTGATCGTCAGGCCGATTTTTCAAAATCTGACCATGAAGTAAGTTGGTCACAAAAGCATAAACAAAATTGTGTTGGATTTTTGATATTCATAGTATAAAAACGAGAAAACGTCGCAAGCCTTTCGCTACTCTACGCTGTTTCTATGGAGAATGTTCAGACGAACTACATTCTTTAGTTCCACAAGTTGTAATCTTCCCGACTAAGGCTCGACGTGCCACGCCCATTATAGGGCACCACCCTCGTTCCCTGCGTATTCCATTGGTGAGATGCAAATTCTACTCAAATAGCTTATTCCAACGAAGCTACAAACTCCCAAGTGGATGCTTTCCCGATCAAGTCTAGGGTTAATCTCTTACTCTACGACAGTGCCTTGAATGGCTCTTGGGTCTTATATTGTAAAATAAAAAAAATTATCGAATTTTCCTTACCCGCCTCCATTTTGCATCCTTATCCGGTTCCTGTCACTAGCTGAAGCCGGCCGAAATCGAAGACAGGTGTAATGGTTCCATTCATTGATTGCCATTTTCACTTGATTCCTTTCATACTGCGAAACTTGAAAAACAAAGCAAAACAAAATCAGGTTTTTATGTCAGGTCGTTTATAAATGTGAAAAAGATTGATTTGTAATTGAATAATTAATTCAATAGGGGTTAAATATCCAGAACAGATTTTAATAATTTGAGATGGTACACTTTTATTATTATTATTATTATTATTATTATTATTATCTTTGATTTCTGGCGTTTACACATTTCTTTCCGGGTCCCGCCCAGGGACCTAAGGTTAGAAATGGCGCCATGACATTTTCCACTGACAAAAAAAAAAAAAAAAATGACATAGATAAAGCCCTTCGTAAAGTGTGGTACTTGTGAGAACAATTTTTTGTATCTCCTTGAGGCATGGACTTCCAGGAATCCCTTCAATTAGTCTACTGCAATCTTTTCCAACCAGTCCTAGGGCTCCAACTACAACAGGTATTGTTGATGTTCCCATATGCCACATTTTTGAGATTTTGTTCCTATATGCCACATTTTCGAGATTTATTATTATTATTATTATTATTATTATTATTATTATTTGTGTATGTTATGCTTTCTGCTTTGTATCCTTGTATACCGGGTCCAAATTATGTTCCTTAGGCCATATAGGAAAATTGTCATTTAATTGATAGCATTTTTCTTTGTATATACCTGGGACACTGTTCCTTTTCTCATGAGACCCAGTGCTCCGATTACTACTGGTACAGTCTCAGTCTTCATTCCCTACATCCAGTTAATCTCGATCTCCAGGTCCTTGTATTTGGACAATTTCTCCATGATTTTCATTATTATTATTATTATTATTATTATTATTATTATTATTATTATTTGTGTATGTTATGTTTCCGGCGTTGTATCCTGTCGAGCCGGGTCCAAATTATGTTCCTTAGACCCCATAGGAGAATTGTCATTTAATTGATAGCACATTTCTTAGTATATGGGATGTTCTTAGTAGGGCAACCTTCTGGGCAACTTTGTATGTCGATGCTACCTGGGACACTGTTAGTAAAATTGTCCATTCCTTTTCTCATGAACTCTGATTACTATTGGTACAGTCTCAGTCTTTATTCCCCACATCTTGTTAATCTTGATCTCCAGGTCCTTGTATTTGGACAATTTCTCCATGATTTTCATGGAGGTGTTTCCCACAAATGCTACTGCTATGTCAATAGGCATACACTTCTTGAATTTCTTGTCTTTTATGATAATATCAGGTCCGTTGGCTTTTATTTCCCTGTCAGTTTGAATTGGCATGTCCTAAAGGATAGTTACATCGTCGTTTTGGATAACTGTGTCTAGTTGGTGCTCATGCCATCTCAGTGGTTTTATGCTTCTTGTTATCCTTCTTGCATATCTTCCAGTGTCACATATATATATATATATATATATATGTCTGTATATATATATATATATATATATATTTTTTTTTTTTACTAGTACCTGACATCCTAAGATATTATTATTGTTATTATTTACTTGGGTTTCTGTTGTGCACACATTTCCTTCCCGGTCCCAACCTAAGGCTTCATGACATTTTTCATTGCAAAAAGCAAAAACAAAGACCACACACATTTTACATAGATAAAGCTCTTCGTAATGTGTGAGCTGTATTCGTGAGTACAATTTTTTGTATTTCTTTAAGGCATGGGGACATTACAATCTGCAGGAAGTGCCATGTCAATACGAAAGCACATTCTGTTCTTGTGGTCTTTCATCACGATGTCTAAGCGATTAGCTTTCATTGTTCTGTCTGTGTGTATTGTAAAGTCCCATCAAATTGTCACAGGTCCTATAACTCTGTAACCGTGTCTGGTTGATGTTCATACCAGTTTCTTACTGTTTCCTTCCCGTAAAAGTGGCATATTTCCCGAGTGCAGATATTGACCCAATCTATCATGCCGGGTTTTATATTCAGTTGGGGCTAACACAGTTTAACCTGATACAAGATGGTCAATTATTTCAGGATATTTATCACAGAATCTGCATTTGGGTTTATCACAATTTTTCAATATGTGTGATTGATCATTTCTAGTTAGCAAGCATTGGTCCTGTGCAGCAAGAATAAACCTTCGATTTCAGTTTTTAATCCTGCAGTACGTAACTACTGATGTGTACAGGGTTTGTTGACATCATCTTGTTTGGTAAGGGCAGAGTATTGGCCATGTAGAGGCTTATCTTGACATCGTTTCTTCATTTTGTATATTGCATTTGATTTTGATTTCCTTTTTAGGTTCTATGCTGCTGCTGTAGGTGCATTATGGTTTATATGCAATTCTTCATCCACTTGAAATCCACTTTATTGGCTTCCTCTATCACTGAATAAAGTTTCTTATTTTTTTCATGTTCTTTGACACAAATTACCTTCCTGTTTACTGTAGTTTGCAAATATCTTTGTATCCGATTGTTGTGATATTATTATTATTACATTAGAATCCCTGATATCCAGAATCCCCCCATATCCGGAGTGCTTCATATCCGGAATCCCGCATATTCAGACATGATTTTGATGTCTATATTTGAACTGTTTGCTTATTTCACCCTAATGGCTTGTATTGGTGCAAAAGATGATGGGAATAAGAGGAAAGGATGACAACGAGACACATCTGCAACAAGATAGCGACGAGGTGCATGATTGTGATGGAATCTGGACTGAAATTGAAAAGGCTATTGAAAAGGTTGTCAGTTTTATGGAAAGAAAGCCAGCATTCAGCTATGACGATTGCAATAACGCACGCAGAGTTTAAAAGCGTTTTTCGTTTAAAAATTTTCAAAAACAAAAGCAAAACGAAATGTGGAAAAAGTTGAGAATGACATTAGAAGAGAAAGAATCATCATGCAACAGTAATTAAAAAAATCCTCGTTATATTATTTGTTTTGCATACGTGGCATACTTAATTTAATGAATTTTCATTAACATTACATAATTTATTTCTTTTTCCTTAAAATCAATTCCGTTATATTTCACTCACCATTAGCTTATTTTGTTTACTATAAAACATTGAAAATAAATGTTAAACCTGATTTCAGTTCTTTTATTTTAATCTAAATATTACCCCTCATATCTGGACTTTGTAACCAATTCCTCATATCCGGAAGGCCTTCTTAGTCCGGTTGTCGGGGATTTTACCGTAAATAAACAATCAAGAGATAATCATGCCGAACGATCGTCGCTTCTGTCATTTCTTTACCTTTCTATATCGACAAAATCTTTATCAGAATTCTGGCTCTCCCAAGTAGTGAGTGTTTCTGAAGCATCTCAGTGTAAATTAATCGAATTTTACCCAGCCCTTTTTGGATTGCGTCTGTCACTGCCCCAAAAGCGCCCACAAAAACAGAAACAACGTCTTCTCTCTTACTCCTCTCCACTAGCGTGTTGCCTATGATTTCAAATCTTGATAACTTTCTTTCTCAACTACACTGATATACTCCAGTACCGCTATATCAATAATCCGATATTGTCTCTTTTCTGGACAGCAATGGTGTCTGTTGTTCTTGCTTCAGTTACGTGTTATTAATTATTATTATGTTGGGGTCACACATTAACGTAGTCAATGGAAATCCTGTCCAAGAGAATAATGACAAAAAGTGTCCTCACAACTCAAGAACCTTTTGGAAAATCCTCGCAGAATAAATGGTAGCAGATGTCTGGAGCTCTACAATCTTCGTCTCAATTCCAATTTTCACCTAAACGCTCTTTCAAGTTTCTAGGCGGTGTTCCAAGTGCACCGATTACTACATGAATTACTTCAACTATCATTTTCCATAGATTTTACAATTCCCCCAGTCATCCGGGTATTTTCCAATATTTTCAGTCTTTTTTTTTTAAAATCCACTCTTGACAATATGGCGATTTTCTAAGCATAACTTAGATGCGGCACAAAGTCGAAAGTATGGGGTACCCAGTGAGGATCAAACTCTCTTGTATTATATGGGACACAAAATCAATAATTCGACACTTGTTACATCTTTTTTTATCGATCACAGTCTTCGTGCTTCCATGACATGATCCGTATTGACGGAGAAATCCGATGTCTTTTGACTGTCATTGTCTGTGACTGATTCTGGTTGATATTTATACAATTTTTCTTTCACATAAAAGCCAAATTTACGGCAGACTTCTATAAGAAAAGTAGCCCTGAATTCAAAACTCTACTGATCAATCCAATAGCAACAACTAACATGGTGAGGCTGGAATTCTAGGTTAAGTGTCTAATAGCACTTTGGAGATGAGAGAAAGAGAAAGAGAGAGATATATTAAAACCATTTTAATGATATTATTTTAATGGTATTGTACTAAGACAAATCTTATTGTTTTGACAGTGTTTCTTGAAGACAAAAGTGGTTGAGGACAAACTTCCTAAAGAGCTTGTGTAAATGGTTGGCAGAATAGGGATTAGGAGAGATAGCATAAAGACAAGTATTGCTCAGACCTGCAAAGAAGAGGAAGTTTAGGTAAACCTGATCGTCCATATCTTGACAGAGAGAGAGAGAGTAGAGAGAGAGGTGGAGAGAGGGGGATAGGGGGGAGAGAGGGTAGAGAGAGGGTAGAGAGAGAGGGAGAGACAAAGAGAGGGAGATAGGGTAGAGTGGGGGAGAGAGAGGGGAGAGAGAGAGAGGGAGATAGGGTAGAGAGAGAGAGGGGGAGAGTGAGAGGGAGAAGGAGAGAGAGGGGGAGAGAGAGAGGGAGAGGGAGGGAGAGAGAGAGAGAGAGATTAGTCACTTCAACAGTTTACTTATTTTAATGCAGTAATGAACCAGTAAAGAAACCTAAGGAGTCGAAATGGCTTGGCTTCACTTTGAGCTTTTTGGTGAGCATATTTGCCAACTTACAGGATCCATATATTTCATAGGGAACAACTCTGTTCGTCCATCTGTAATTTCTGCGTTTGATCGCTTTCCTTTTCTTCCTTGAAACGGTGTTATTTCTAGTAAAAATGATAAAAAAAAATGAAAAAAAATGATTAGAAATATTTCTGCAAATTTAACGAAATAATAAATAAAACACATTTTTAAAATGGAAATAAAAATCAGTCTTTCAAATGCATTGACAGATATCTTTGGTCCCAGAAAAATACAATATTTAATATCAGCTGTATAATCTTGTCATACGGGACAATAACATCTGGTGACATAGTAATTGTGAGTTCAATCCCTGATCCGTGCAGTGTGTCCTTGGACTCAGTGAAAACAAGGCGAGCAATAACCGAGCCGTATTAAAAATAAGAACTAGACGAGATATTCTTAGAAATGGACAGTGAAACGAGAACAAGCTACTTCCCGTAGATTAAATAAAGGGTTCAGTTCATATTTCCTTATAGATTACCCAAATCGATATACACTTAAAGAAGGCCGGAGGGTACAGCAGCCGAAATGTTGTGATAGCAACAACAATGATGAGGACAATAGACCTAATATAAATAGTGTGAAGTAGTACTAAAGATAAGAACTAGGCGAGATATCTCTAGAAATGGCCAGTGAAACGAGAACAGTCTACCCCCATAGATTAAATAAGGTGTTCATTTCAGTATTCCCTGTAGGTTAACCGGACCGATATACACCTGATGAAGACCGGAGGATATAACGGCCGAAACGTGATAGCAACAACAAAGATGAGGACAATAGGCAGAATGTAAATAGTGTAAATGATGATAATTTCTCATCTCAGAAATTCAGACAGATATCTTTGTTTTTAGGTGATGTATTAACAAAAATATTGATTTTGACGAAATTCTTTAATCTCATCATAACTTTTTGTTGATATTTTTTTTTGGTTTACGTCAGCCAGCAAACAAAACAAATCCGATATACGGTATGTCCATAAAGTCTCTTTACAGTTAAAAAAAAAAATTATTACAAAAGCAAATGAACAGACAAATGTGTGAAAATTGTTACAAAAAAGTTTTTAACTAATTTAATACACTTCTATATGGATGCCATTACTTGCACGAAGCACATCAAGAGGGTACTCAATTTTCCATGTTCACTGTAGCATAGCCTCATTAATGGTGACAATGGCATCAGTGATCTTTTGCTTTAGATCAATGCTCTTTGGTACGCGATATCTTTACCATAATGCCACAGAAAGAAGTTCTATAGTTTCACTGAGTTTGCGTATTCGATTTTGTTTCAATAAACCATGACACACATTGTGCCTATTTTTGAGGTGTAGTCATTTTTCGTGGGAGGGGGGGGATTCATTTCAATATACATCATCTATCTTGCGTGTTCATATATATATATATATATATTTGGTATCTCGGGTCCGTACCGATCCTTCAGAGTCTGTCTATATTTCTGAGATGAGGTATTATGTACATTATTTACACTATTCGGACTATTGTCCTCATCTTTGTCGCCATATTTATCACAACATTTCAGCCTTTGTACGCTCCGGCCTTCTTCAGGTGGTTGGAATTTCGAACTGAACCCTTTATTTCGCTCACTGGGGTAGACTGTTCTAGTTCCACGTGCCATGTTTAATGGATGTCAGTTATCAGTTATCTCCTGTTAATTTCCCTCTGAAAGTTCTCCACTGCCTTAACTGGGTATTGAATAATCCGAATAATGTAAATAATATATATATATATTTAATATTGAATCTCCCGTGGAAGCCTGACGAGCGGGAGCGAAACCGGTTGCTCCCCCCCCCCCCTTGTTGTTGAGTTTTTTGTTTTTTTTTATTATTTAATACTGTTTTAATATGTCTTGTAATATTAAATTATATACTTTTATTTCGATCATTAAATTTTGTACCTACAAATATATATATATATATATATATATATATATATATATATATATATATATATGGGGGAAATAAATTTTCGTACAGATGAAAAATTGTATTTTTATAAATGTAAAAAGCCTTAAGTAAAACAAATTTTGATACATTTTATGTGTAAAGATACATTTTATTAAAAAATAGTAATAAACTTAATTAATTCTTATTCTAACAGAAATTAATGCATTTTTTCATTTTAACTGATGAAAAAAGTATTCGTACAAAACAAAAAAAAGCATATTAACTTAATTTAATACTTTGTGGAATATCCTTTATTGAGTTCAACAGCTACCAGTCTATTCCTGTACGTCTCAACTAATGATTTTCACATTGAGTGGTATTTTGTTCCATTCTTCTTGGCATATTGTCTTCAAATTCTTGATAGTTGTTGGTGCTCTTTTCCCAATTTGAATTTTCAAATATCGCCATAAATTCTCGATTGGGTTCAAGTCTGGGGACTGATTTGGCCATTGCAAGACATCAACGTTACTTTCAGCTAACCATTTCCTTGTAGATCTAGCGGTATGCTTAGGATCATTATCCAGTTGGAAAACCCAATCAGGAGGTAGCCGAAGTCTCTCAACAGAACGCATTAAATTGTCTTGCAGGATTTTCTGGTATGTTTCGGCATTCATCTTGCCATTTATTATTGATATTCTATCAAAAACCTTTTGCAGAAAAAACAGCCCAAGATCATGATACTGCCACCAGTTTTTGTATAGTTCATTACTTATTGTACGCTTGGTTACTTTAATCCCTAATGCATGCAGATGTTCCTGCAGCTCTTTTCGGATAACCTGTGGATTTTGTTGGATCTGGCGTCCTAATATCTTTGCTGATCTTAGAGAAATCTTCCTCAGAGCACCTGTTCGTCTTTGGTTACAAGTTTTAAACCTTGCAATAAACGAAGCAATTGTAGTAAAAGGAATATTCAGGTTGTTAGAAATCGTTCTGTAACTTCCCATCTTTTCAAAGAGACAAAATGTGTTGTTTTTGTGAAATAGTCAATTCTTTACCTTTAGGCATTATTAGAACCTTCTCGTAAGACTAGAAATTGCAGAATGCTCTGATAATGGCTAATAGCGTTAACTATAATTACTGATAACATTACTGGAACATTCTAGAATATACTTTTTTCACAATTAATTGATTATTTTATTCTAATAATTGATTTGTACGAATACTTTTTTCACCAGTTAGAATAAGAATGAATTAAGTTTATTATTATTTTTTGATAGTATGTGTCTTTATACATAAAATGTGCCGAGATTTGTTTTATTTAAGGCTTTTACATTTATAAAATGCAATTTTTCAAGTGTACGAATATTTATTTCCCCCACTGTATATATATATATATATATATATATATATATATATATATATAATTTAATCAAGTTAACCTGTAAAAAGACAATATATAGAAAGATAAAAATACATTAGGAAAGCTGTATTATTATATACACGTTTCGTCCAATTTGAACTTTTTATAAGGCAAAAACAAAATGAATTTTTTGAAAACAAAGTAACTATTAACTACAAACAAAATGTTCTTAGCAATTAGTGTTTCCTAAATTCATCTGGTTGCTAAGGATATTTTGTTAGGTTGGTGACGTGATAAATTTTGGACGCGTGTTTATAGTTGGCAAAATATTTATTAGTAAATCCTGAAAGTAATTTCAACGTAAAGAATTATGTTCCTTTCAGTTAGGGTGGCATTTGCAAAATCAAAGTTATGCTCACTTTTGTTCTTGTGTATTACGAGCGAGTTTCAATGGTCGTTCAAACGTAAAACCCTTTAAATGTTCGTAGATATGAACCTTTAGATTACGAGATGTCTCGCCGATATAAGAGCATTTACATTGTAAGATATTTACTTGATAAATTCTATCTTCTGAATTGCTGTTGGATTTTTTTCCTAATTATATCGCCAATTGTCTTGGACCTTGTGGTAAAGATAGGAAGGATATAACTAGTTTGTTCATAAATTTTGAAGAACGTGTGTTACAGGGTATGATTATGAATTTTTTTTGTTTTATATATATATATATATTTATATATATATATATATATATATATATATATATATGAAACAATAGTTCGAAATTTTAAATATTAGCTCTGGATTTACATTGAGCTCTCAGGTATTTCATCCTCCTTGGGATTACCCATACGGATTACCAAGTTCTTAATAACTTAAATATATATATATATATATATATATATATATATATATATATATATATATATATATAAAGGCGGAATCTTCTTTAAATAATGATGTATTTTTTCATTGGTCACTTATTTTTTATCATTTCCGATTCACGTTGTTTGCTCGTTAAATCACAGTAAAATATAATTAAAAATGATAGAAAATAATAATAATAATAATTATGATAATAGTAAAAAAAATCGAAAAACGAAGATATTTTTGATAATTTAGTATCAAATACCTTTGTACCAAATACAAATGCTGACATAATTAAATAACTTCCTTAAAAAAAGCAACTTTTTTTTTAATGTCCGTTAGCTTTCCTTTTCAGAATAAGAGGGAAGGCATTTAACACATTCCTCTAGTTTGTTAGTGTGTTCTCTTTCTAGAAAATGAAAACTTAATTTACGTTCTTCTGACTTATCTCTAGTTGTCTTTATTTTTTGATTTTAATGTTTGGGCAAATACTAAGTGTTGTCTTCCCTCTAATGAGTCTATTATGGACTCTTCCATTTACTATAAAGTAGTAGGAAAAGTAAGCCTTGTGGGTAACGGTGATATAGACTGTTCTACTGTGGCTGTTCGCAGCTCCTGTCGAACTGTTTGCTTTTGGCAAAGAGAGGAACCCAAACGAGGCTGTGCCGAATTGCTCTTATATTTCGTTAACTCACGTAGACATTTTAACAAAATCGTTTAAAAATATATATTTTATTAGGATTTATTTTTATAAATCGATTTTACAGGCTCAAATGACCCACGTTAAACTCGGCCTTGATTTTTACATATGTTCCCTCGATTTTACATCACTGAATATAACGGTGATATAGACTGAACTCAGAAAATATAAAAACACACACTTTTTCAAGTCAGCATAACTCTCTTCTGTTGTATTTACTGTTTATATATACTATTTATCTGCAACCTTTTCAATTGAA